TCATTGTCTCTTATCAACACGACAGCATCATTTGAGAAAGAACACAAGCAAAGTCCATACAAAATCAATGGCAACTACCCAACAGGCTTAATTCAGTCAATCAAAAGTCAATATACAGAGGGAAACGTGTCAAGCTGTGTTATTTATGCTACAGAAGCTTGTTTGAGACTTCTTAGAGGTGAAATACCGTCTGTAGCACTGGTTGATGAAATTATTAGTTCATTCAAGATCAACTTTGCCGTGCAACATTTAACCATTGAAGAGGTCTTGACGGATGTGGAGCGATTTTCGAAAGGCCTGAAGCAAAGAACTTGCCGACAGATGACTCTCAGTGATTTAAAAGTGGAATTGAAAAGACTAATCGCAGATCAAATTAACGATGGTCCTTTTGGATTATTATTCCTAAAGCCACCTGAAGCAATTTCATTAACTGTCATGTCACAGAACACTTTCATTATGTTCGACTCTCACAAGAGAATTGATACAACTGGTGCTTATTTTTACGGTGATGAAAGTGTGGATAATATAATGAGAAAAATTGAAGAAATTTGGCCCGTAACATTTCCAAATTTTCATATGATGTTTGAAGAGAATGAGCAATGGCAATGGGATCTTCTCAATATGTGTGAAGCTCAGGTGGTAGTTCGGTCAGAAATCGTTTTGTTGCCAGCACTAGACATATCTAGACTACAGAAACAAGTCGGAGACTTGAACATGACCATTGATGCTACTTTTAATGAGAAGACATTCGACAGAAGTTCCAATTCCATGCATGCTAGTAATATTCGGCCATCTATCTGTGAATCAATTAAAGATGATGAATCGTCAACCTTACACTGTGTGCATTATCATCAAAACTTTCTTGCATCGAAGATATTTTTAGTGGAACAATGTCATCACGGACTCTGCATGGCCTGTATGCAGACTTACTTGTCGACACATATATGACATTCACTCAAATGTCCAATTGTTTCTTGCACTGTTACAATAAGTGACTTACAAGTGCAATCTCTTCTGAATGACGAAGAGCTGAAGACAAAATAAGAAGATCAGATAACTGTGCAACGTAACCCTTGTCGCAAAAAAGAGTTTTGTCACCTGAGATACCATATATTTTCACTATAATACCTTCGGACTATAAAACATGCTAAATCGATACTATTGTGTTCTTTTCATTATAAGATATTTGTACATTAAGATTATACTGATAATATTGTTATTAATGATCTCCGCTGAAGGATATTAGTGTGAATAAAAGTGAAGTTGAATGTGTATATTGTCAATTAGATGTATTCATTCAGTGACCCATCTAATCATTTTCAATCAACATTTGGGCATGTAGCAGGAAAATTGTACTCTTTCTTGGACAAAACCTATTGTGATTCGATCAGATAGACTTCCTTCTTCAAAAGAAATACGGAGGTTAAGTGAAAAAAAGAAAATTGAGGAAATTGCTATAACTTCCGTAATTGGGAAACCTTGTGTCAATGGAAAAATGCAAATCAGATACTTTGGATACATAAAAAAAAACAAAGGACGTTTTATAAAATTTGTTTCTGAACTTCTCAAATTATTCATTTAATTTTTTTAAAGAAATCAAAACATCGTTGCTTCTATTCAACCTCTTCGGAACGACCGACTAATCTTCTTTTAGCTTTTTCTATAACCGTTTGACTGATCTCTGTCCTCATGTGGTAAAACAGAAAATAAACAGAGACAGAGAAAAAAGATAAGAGACTTCACCTAATTATTGGAGAGAATGAATATTTCTTTTTCTTGTTTTACTCATGATCATTTGATAATTAAACAGTTGTGTACATTGAATATGAGTAGCAAAAACGTTGACAAAATTCATCCGTCTGTTTTTCTAACAAAAGACCCAGGGCAACATAAGTACTCAATTATTTTGTATGTTTTCTCGATGAGTTTGAAACTTTGTCTACATATCTACTATAGTGTAATAGTGATCGACTTGGTGAAACCAACATAAGTCGAATCATCTGATACTGATAATGATCTAGCAAAATGTAACACCTTCTATAGCAAAGGATTTATTGAATTTTGCCCATCTGGTTGGATTTAGACGACCGATTGAGATAGATGTGAGTCCTCATGTGATAATCAATATTTTATATTGAGTCTTTTTTACTTCCTCATTTTACTCTCGCTAGACCACAAATACGATGATTCATGAGTGTGATACACAGTAAGCAATACTGATGCTGTTTATTACTACATTCGATCAGTGAGAGATATCTGTAGATTAATTTGTTGCTTTAATTACAAAGGTGAATAGTCTTGTTGTCTCAAGCTTAACTGGCTCATCACAGTTTGTTCTAGTTTCATTGTAGGATCCGTCTTTTAAAAAAGTCTTCGCAAACGACGAATCGATCTGAAGAAAAAAAATGTTAAAAAGATAGAAAATAAGATCACAAAGTCATTCCGTTCAAAACATTACAATCGACAAAGATAATTTGTAACTGAAATATTATTCAGTGATAGAAATTCAAGAGAGAACATTTCTTACTTCGTTAATTTCATTAAAATAATCAATAATCTTTTCGATGAGTTCAATGCATATTTGATAGAAACCCCTATTACTGTAAATATCAATAACTGCTCACATGCTGTATGAAAACTAAGTATGTTGCCTTGGCATTGGCTATCGATATTTTAATGCTCATGAAATTACACATTAATATTAAAAAAGTCCATAAAGCAGTATCAAAAGGAAAAAGATAATTCAAATTCCATGCAACATATCGACTGACTACTTGATACGAATGAATGAGACTTCTCATGTAGAGCCCATAATATTTCACATCGTTCAATGTAGGACTGATGCCTCAAGAAGCGACTGGTACTATGAAAATGATTTTAGATTAATTGAGATCACAATGAAACAAGATTATTAAATTTTTTTTTTCTTGTACCTTGTTGTTCGTAGATCTATCTAGGCGTATGTGACTACAGTGAAGATATATGTAAATCTTATATTTATTAGTATCGATTACAAACGCTAACAGTTTCGAGTGTTACCAACTCTCTCGACATGCGGCCTCTATGGAGTTTTTTTTTTATTCGATTCTACAAGACCAGCAATACACTCACTACTAGGTTTGCGAGAACAGCTTGTGTTAGTGTAGTGCACGTTTTCATCGGAAAGCAGAATCGATTAATCGAGCTTCTACACTAATTTTTAGCAATACTATTGTTTACATTGTTTTATTAGTTGAACAAAGCTATTCCCTAATGGCTCAAAAATATAGGTCGCGATCAAGTGAATCCGAAAGTTCAAGCTCTGATGAAGGTGAAAAAAGATATATGATAGATGAAGACGAATTAGAACGGTTGAATAGTCGCGTATCACACATGGAAGTTTTCCATCATATGCAGACAGCTAGTTCCGAAGTCAAAAATCCAGAAATGCGACTTCAACATTGTTGTTACGCACAATCTGTTGGTCAAATTCCGCATTACACAAATAAACCATCATCAACAGATTTTCAATCTGAAGATGTTGAAAAATATGTTGAATCAGCCATTCTTTATCAAAATGTAACTCAGCTTCTTCAGAAACGTGAAGAATATGCAGTAGTTGAAGATGACTTTGGTCCAACACTGACTCAGATGTTAATTCGTGGAAATAAGCCATCGTTTACAAATCTAGTAGCAGCATGCAGAAAGTTTGATGATGAAGGTTTTATCAACTTACATCTGATGACAACTGAACAGTCTTATCGACACTTTCTGAAAAAAAATATTAGTGAAGATGATGCTAAAGCATATGCATTTGCTATCGCATTTTATACAGGTGCATATAGTGAAATGCTCAATCTAAATGCAAATATATTTGCTCGACGATGGCAACGAAACAAAGCAACAAATGCAGAAAATGTACAAGTTGATGATAATGCAGCTATGATTATGTATTATCTTATAAAAGGGTCTTTCACATATTAATTTCTATTGGGGTCGAGTTGTACGATATGTTAAGTTGAGTGACAAAGGTCTTAAGGATTATAAACCTGGTGAAATTCTTACATGGCTTCAATTTAGTAGTTCTGATAAAGGTGATGATAAAAATGCTAAACATCTAAAATATTTTAAAGAACGTAATGCTAAATTTATTATTCATTCTTTAACTGGTCGAGCCATACGAGATTATTCTAATTGTTCTCAAGATGAGGATGAAGTTTTATTTTTACCTCATTCCACATTTCTTGTATGTCATAAAGAAATTAAAGATAGAAAAAACATTATTTATATGAGACAAGTAAATATATATTTTATTTAATTGTTATAAATGAAAATGAATATTATAGATTGAACTTGGTCTATGCAAATATGTTGTCTTATGGGTTGATGATCATATATTTCATGATTGGTGGGAAAATAAAGAACACATGGAAAAAGCAAGTACCCTTGGTACACAAGTCAATGTTCATTTCATCCCAAAATCTACAACAGAAAATGCAGTAGCCTTTCTTCGATCTCCATTTGGACAACGATTAAAAAGTAGTAATACATTTCGGATTGTTACTGATATGAATCGTGATAATGAAAATTCACCAAATGATGCTGGTGTTCGTCTACTTTATCAAGTACGACAGCTTGGATTCTATCAGAAATGTCTTATATTTACTGGTAATGCATGGGAAGGTCAAAGAAAATTAAATAAAGCATTTCAAGGAAATCAAATGAATGACATTCAAGTCACCGAAGATCCAGCTGATCTTGAAAAGTTCGTTCTTTTCAAATGATTTTACCTAATCGCTTTTATTATCTCTTTCTTAAAAAATAGTTGTAATACCGCAGTTTTTTTTGTCTTAAGCACATTTTTGAATTTATTTTCGTGTACCGGTGAATAAAGTATTCAAGTACTATATTATCTCTTTTAAGTGTATTACTTTTTTGAGGATCAACTTTAAATAAAAAACGAAAAAGCATTACCTATTATAATTATAATAATTGCGTTTACGGCAACGACATGAATAGAAAACTTTGAAATAGAAAAAACAAAACAAAATACTTGAAGAATCTACTCTAATAAATCCACAGACGCAAAATTTCCAGTGGAATTTTCAGATCATATACATACAACTTTGTAATTGAACTCATCATTACATCCTAGTCTCAATGTTAACTATCAAAGAATAATTCATGTATGAAATCTCGTAAGAAACTATAATACAAGCCATATTCACATCTTTTTCAATAAAGATATAATAGAATCAGTTAAACTTTCATCGAGACCTAGCAAGAGCGAAGTTGAGTTATTATGAGTTTGACATATATTTGCATATCATGTAGACTTTTATGGATGCTTTTCTGTGTGTATATACTAGGTAGACTACTCATATTGACCAAACTTTCATAGTGATAAAAGACCTTCATCGCAATATGATTGTAAGTATGAATGTGTGTCTTCGTGTTTTTTTCTCTTATACTCACAATCGTATTTCAAAACCATCAACGGATGTAAATAACATAAATGTCAATTATCGACGATATCATTCTGTTTTTCCTTCGTTGAAATCAAGTGTTCGAAATCGAATGAAAGATTTTTATTATTGACAATTAAACCTTCATTTCAAAATTTTTCAAGTGATAAGAGAATAGTATCAAAAAAATAATTAAAAAAGTTGCGAGATTATAATATAATAAAAAGTTTTTCTCATTGAGTTGTAATAAGGCATCACATTTTTCTTGGTTGAATAATAAATTTAGCATCATGATGACTTGTCTGTGTATGAGGTTGGTGTTTGGGTACATTGTCAAAATGTTTTTCATGTATACTTTTCACAGCTTCAGTCGGAAATGCATCTTGAATCTAAATAGAAAAAAATAAGGCTACAATAACTTCTCATCATGTGAAAAGAATAATACGTACTCGTACAAATTGTCCAGCTGGTTGATGTTGTACGACAGTACTAAAATAAATAGACACTATTAATACAAGATCAACGTGTAAGCTTATGTCCAATCTACCCTGATGTATCTTCATCACCACCAGTTACAGTTTCGTCTGTTTTTTCTTGTCTACCTTCACCTGTTCCAGCAGTAGTGTTATCATTGGAGTTACCTGTATTACCTTGACCTTGTGT